GTGTAGCGTTTGTGCTTAACTTCAAACAAACTAGTATTTTCAGCGACAATTTTATTTATTGCAATAACTATGTCTACACAATAAAAGTAAGGTTCTTCAGAGCGGCTATTATTTTTTAATTTCTTTTAGGTGGGAGATCCTCAGCAAGAACGTCTAAGTTCTTGAAGCCTCAAGCTAAGAAATTTGAAAACCACTGCATTTATTGATTGTAGTTGAAAAAACAAATAATTTTAATGATAGAGTAGATATGCTTCTTTACAAAAGAGCATTATTTCTTCTCAGAAGTATACAAGGTTTAGTCTCTTTTTTTTCCAGGTTAACATTCAGATTAAATAACTTAACACTGTATCTTGGCTAGTAAGTGTTTGTTATTGTGAATTATTATATTATCTAATATCTACTGTACAAATAAGTTATAAAAATACGTTGTCCTGAACAAGATTATATGTCTAATGGACTTGAAATGCGTCTAACTGTTATTCTGTGATAACAATTTGTAGGATTTATTTTGTTGTTTTATGACTTTGAAAATTTTAAACATAATATTGTTAAAATTTCCATATGAAGAAGTTTTTCTCTGAATTTGTATTATAATGAAAATTAAGAAACGGCTATTTCATTTAGGCTAGGGTCTTTGTAAACAGAATATGCATTGTGAGACGTGGGGCCTTTACAAAATATCACAAGATCGTGATACGTCAAGCAAGATAAAAAAGTAACATACCCTTAAGTAGTTCTCTCTAAAACTGTTGATGGCAATGATACATGATTCTAGTCTGTTCATTATATCGATAGACCAAGGTCATAAAACACGTGTTTCCGCGTGATGACGTGACTTCAATACTAAGTCTCGTCATGCAGTCTCGAATTCTTTGATTGAGTAACATGGTCAGCAACAAGGATTTAAAGCTGACGAAGGCTCCTTAGCTAAAATGTCACACCTTTTCAGTCATCATTTGAAACGAACGGCTTTTTTTTATTATCAAAATAGTCGAAGAAACTGGATCACGACAATCCTATTCAACCATATACCCCTTCCAGCGTAGCTCCAATAGATTTATGAATCTTTGGTATAAGAAGCTTACGTCCAAGTCAGTGGAAAATTCGTCATGATATATGGTTTAGGATTACTCTCACCGTCCTTCTCAGCTACTTGTTACAATATAAGTCGCAATGTTGAGGAATATACTGTACTTACAGTAATCAAAATTGGCATGATCAACGACGGAGGAAATAGTTACAAGGATCACACAATACCAGGAACATCGTTCTTATAAAGAGTGAATAACCCTCAGTGAACTTATATTATTATATTAGGTCTACTCCACGCTAAGGGATTGACTGTCATTCTTTTAATGCATTCACAGCTTAAAGTTCGGAGAGTATTTTATGTTATCAGGCTAACTAGCTCCGAAATCGAGAGCTCTACCACACGGCCACCCGAGTCACCAAGTTATATGAGACAATATCCTGATTACATGCTTCAATGACACACACACATACCTTGTGTGTTTTATAAATCTTTTATGTTTACGAAATAAACAAAATGTTTAAAACGACGCAAACTATCAAGTTATATTAAAATAAATATGAAATCCTTTTCCATACTTTGTCATAATACAATAAAAACTGATAGGTGGTAGAGTGATGATGACTGGCTATCTTTTCTATGGTCAGTTTTCAAAATTAGAGAGAGTGACATATAGTCTTAGTAACTTTACCATAAGGCCCAATGCAAATCCAACTATTAGCAAAGTAATAGTATTTTAAAATTACTGATGACAAACGCCTGGATTGAAGTCAACGCAATTTCATCACCGTTAAAAACAACTTAAGGCAAGTTTAATGATATATATATTTTAATGTGTGTGTGTTTTTTTGTTTTCACACTGAATGTGATTTGTTTTCGTATTCTACAATCATTTACCTAATAACATTTTATATCCATCCATTTAAATAATGCAATTCGTTTACGGTTTACTCTGTGAAAAAATTGACACAGTTTTATCTTTTGAACTCAAAGCTTTTCTATCAGCACACACTAAGCTGATTATAAAATGCGGGGTGAGAAATAAAGCCGCTGTACTTCGTTAAGCTCCCTTACTTTTGTTTCTTATAGTACTAACTGTACAAATAAAAAAATTTACATAAGTAATGTTATACCACTTATAACATTTCATGACAGTATTCTCAATCCAATAAAAATGTTTACATTTGGAGTTTTATTAAACTAACCTCTCGATAAAAGCCTTTAAAATTGCCTAAAACAAATTTTAAGAAGTTGAAAACTGTGTTTTCTTTCGACATCCATTGCCGTTTTTCTTTGGTTTCGACACATCGTTTTTTTGCTCCATGCTGAGTCCTTCACTAAGACTTCCCACAGTGAGCAATTATATTAAGCAACTATCATTTAACATACTAAGTAGTTAATACTTGACCTTTTATATCTCAGGAAACAGAATAGCGAAACCAGAGAGTAAGGATTCCGGCTGTTTATTCATGACTACATATCACACATTCTATCTTAGGAACTCGATGTTCTCAAATGCAAAAAAAACACAATTTTTCTTTCATTCTTATTATAAAAAACCAAATTCCACAACGCAAGAAGAATGGTACAAACACATTCTCTACTTTGTATTAACGACAGAAATAAGGTTAAGCTTCAGAATTTGTACAGTTTTACTAATATTTGGTATTTTTCAACCTGAATGGAATTTGACGTGACACATGGGCCAAGCAGCCAAGTCTCATATAACTTTCAGGTGTAGATGTCCGTAATTTAGAGCTGTTAATCAGAGGGAAGGCACACCAGCCAGAAGTATCTGCCGCCTACTAGGCTAGCCGCCCTAGTGGTATATCACGGCTCCAACCTTGGACCATTCGTTCAGCAACAATAAGTATTCCAAACCTAGGTAAGCTTTACTAGTAGAATGATATATTTGACTTACTTTGAATTCTGATCAATCGAGGAACTTGGACGGTGACTGCTGTCGGATGAGGATAGGTGGTGGTGGTGATCTCCATGCATACGTGGCCGATTGTTTATTGGTTGGCATTCACATTCAGTGTGATTAATAAAAAGCAACTTTTCCACAGCATTGTTTATGCCTACTTCCATATGGTGATTTTTAAGGTGTAGAGTCTGTAACAATAAAGATATGTATGTATTTATAGGAACTTTTCATAGAACAAGACAAAGAACGTACTAAAAACAAAACAGGCAAGGAGACTAAGGTACGTACAAACTACAATGGGGATCGGTAAAAATGTATCTAAAGTAGAAGAGGTATCTGATGAGTCCCACACAACGGTGGGGAGAAATCATCACCAGGTGCAAGCATCACACGCGACACAAACAAACAAACAGTTAGAGTAGATATGGGTGCTGAAGACTAAATAGTTTCTCATTTAAAAACTATCACTCGCCACCTGCAGCCGGTTTTATTCTTGTTTCACAAACTTATTCCTACTAAGATATACATTTTTGGATGAGTGTTATTCCGCAAGGCGTGAGAAGATAAACTTGGATAAATGATAATAAAAAATAAATTGACACGTCTAAATGAAAACGTTTTCTACTTTATTTTGTGCGACGTTTTCGAGTAGAGGCCCTTCGTCAGCCACTAAAGACCGTGTTACAATGACTAGCCTAATTCCATTGTAACACGGTATTTAGTGAAACGTCGAAACGTCGCATAAAATAAACTATAAATAAGTTTTCATTTAGACGTGTCAATTTATTCTTTAATATCATTTATTCCAAGTAAGGCATATATTGAGATCTCCAAGACATGTTTAAAGCGTCTTATGAAATTGAATTTCGAATACTTGTCTACAGCCGCTACAAATTAATTAAATATTATTAATGACGTTACTAATAACAATCACGATAGGAACCATGGTTACTCCCAACATAATGAAAGTGATTTCATGGAGTACGTTTATAACCTTTACTAATTATGTTAATATTATAGAATCAATAGCAGCAGTTATTCTTATGGATATTTAAATAATTTAAAGACTTAATTTTGTTGTCTAAATTATTGGCCAAACATCCATAATAGTTTTTTAGTGCGTTATTTTTTCACTCTGATAATAATGAAAAACAGTGAGATCGTCAGGCAGTCATCAACCTTAATTTCAGATGCCAATACTATAAAGGGGTAAACCAGAAAACTTGGCTGAGAACACGAGAACATGAGATTTTATGAAAGTAAAATCTGTAATTCAAGACTGCCATTATCCCCTCAGTATCATTTATAGTAACTTTTCACACGGAGAGTTTAAACAAGTTAACGAGCTTTTCAGTGCGTCATAAAATTTACGTGAAGACATCTTAATACTCATTTGCAAGTATCTTGTTTAAACAAGTTAACGAGCTTTTCAGTGCGTCATATAATTTACGTGGAGACATCTTAATACTCATTAGCAAGTATCTTGTTTAAACAAGTTAACGAGCTTTTCAGTGCGTCATATAATTTACGTGGAGACATCTTAATACTCATTAGCAAGTATCTTGTTTTATTTTGTTGTTTTGAAACATCCTTAATATGTTTATTCATGATGGTAGGAAAACACGTAAGTTCAAAAAATCCATTTAACTCAAAAATATGATACCCTATAACCCAAACGCTTTCGAAAGGTGGACCTTTCTTCTTCAGGGGCAATTTCAATGTGTTTATTTTACCCCATAACTTGAAATGAGGAGCACGAGGTATTAGATTTTATTAGAATTTTGTGTAGTTTGTAACATATAACTATCGCATTGAAAAAAATTCGTTGCCTTTACAGAAATAGCTTAAAAAAATAGATATAAAATTTTACAACTATACACGTATATGCTCATGTTAAAAAAAACAGGATTTTATTTCACAGTATATATATATCTTTTTACAAGAGTAATAGTGCAAAAAATTAATACACAAAAAGAAAAGACCCAAGACATTACGGTATCCAATCAGTTTATGTTTAAGCTTACATAGGATTTAATTTGTTCCCTGTGACCGCAAGTAAGAAGTAACCAATGTATTCTAACAACTACTTATCCTATATGCCTTTAAATTAAAGGTGTAAAATACTTTTGATGAATGATTGTTAGTCGACGTTTTGAAGTCTTCCGTCTTTCTTTTTCAGATGAGATATATACGTTTGATTATGCAATTCATTTTTTTTTTCATTTCTCATAGTCCTCGCGGACCGTTGAGCCGATGGCAGATCTTGCTCTGCCATCGTTTCTAAAGCTGTTTCTTACGTCAAGGATGCAACCCACTTGACAGCCTTCCCTCTTTGAAAGGACGAGCATGTTTGGTGTGACGGGGAACCGTCAGATTGCGAGTCGAGCGCCTTAACCACCTGGCCATGCCGGGCCTGATTATGCAATTACTTTAGGTAATTGCTATCGTCACCTTTGCATATATTTAAAACACTTATATCTGTCTATGTGTGTGCCAGATGTAGAGCATATATGTAGATTCAATTAGAAGAATATGTGAAATAGGCAAGTGTAGTATTATATTCATTTTTGTAACATGATAAACTGTATACTAAGTAACGCATGACTGAATGAAACTTACTTTATTCTGCAAAACATCTGTACATGTTAAACTGTAAGTATTCGCTATAGTTGTTTGTTTGTTGTGATTCACAAAGCTCCAAAATGGGCTATCGTGCTGTGTCGTGTTCACCACAGGGCTCGAGCCTCGTATTTTATCGTAATAAGCTCCTATGTTTACCGCTGAATCATGGGGTCATTCATTATATACTTTGACAATTTGTATTAGACACATACAAGAAAAGTACCAGACCCTAGTGATGTAAAATCTATCATTTTAAATTATTTCACTCAGAACCAAAGCTCTGAGCTACTTATACTCACCACCCACCGTGAAAAGTACCAGTCCCTAGTGATGTAAAATCTATCAGTTTAAATTATTTCACTCAGAACCAAAGCTCTGAGCTACTTATACTCACCACCCACCGTGAAAAGTAATTGTTGAACATTTCAGTCATTCTAAGAGCTGCTCAACAATAACATACGGTAAATCTACATTTTTATTCTTTAAATTACGTCACATTTTGAAATGTGAACAATTAGGTGATTAATTCTTAACAATTTACGGCCCGGCATGGCCAGGTGGTTAAGGCACTCGACTCGCAATCTGAGGGTCGCGGGTTCGAATCCCCGTCACACCAAACATGCTCGCCCTTTCAGCCATGGGATCGTATAATGTGACGGTCAATCCCACTATTCGTTGGTAAAAGAGTAGCCCAAGAGCTGGCGGTGGGTGGTGATGACTAGCTGCCTTCCTCT